CCACAATCTAAGACATTAAACCATGAGAGAGCATCAAAGGAAAGTAACAAAGATGGTAAATGGCACTGAGAGGAAGCTGTGTGAGGAGCAGCTGAGGTCACTTGTTCTGTTCAGCCTGGAGAAAAGGAGACTGCGGGGAGCCCTCACTGCAGTTACAGCTTCCTCACAGGGGGAAGAGGAGAGACAGACACTGATCTCTTCTCTGTAGTGATCAGGGAATGATCTGAAGGGGAGGTTTAGGTTGGATATTAGGAAAAGGTTCTTCCTCCAGAGGGTGGCTGGACAGGAACAGGCTCCCCAGGGAAGCGGTCACCAAGCCTGGCAGAGTTTAAGCGTTTGAACAATGCTCTCAAGACCATGGTGTGACTCTTGGGGATGGTGCTGAGCAGGGCCAGGAGTTGAACTTGATGACCCTGGTGGGTCCCCTCTACCTCAGCATATTCTGTGATTCTGTAATGTGTTTTCCATTTTCTGACCAAGTGTCTTGCTCATGTTCAGTCTTCCTTTTGCATGTGGGTGATAGTGCATAAAAATGGAAAGTTCAAAAAGACTAAAAATGATGCTTTGAGTAGACAGCCCATATGGAGGTGTAAGCATTTTCTTCATGACCATCTACTATTCACTCAGAAAAACCTTCAGCAAGTTAAATTTCCAATTGCATTTTGGAGATTCAAGTCAATTTTATGAACCTACTCTCCATTACCCACATCACTTCTAACCAAAAAGTTGCAGTAGGTTTATTTAGAGAAAATTTATGTACGGAAAATCCAAGAAATTACTATTCCCTAATACACCACACCTATCATGTTAATTTGAGTCTTTACTGCAGATTGTCTGATGTGTGTGGCAAGGCTGTAAAAACAACATATTAGATTTTCCAGAAATATTTTTGATAATTTGGCATTATATTTTACAATTTTGAGCCCTTTGAGGCATAAACATTTCCAATAGAAGATTTAGTACCACAGTTATAGCTCACCTATTTCAGCCTTGACTCCTGTTTATGACTTCTGGGCAACCCGTGGTTCTGCTAATGTAGTCTGCAATGTTTTTTTTTTCTCTTACTTCAGTGTGAATCACATTCTTTTTCTCATATGAAAGTAAAGATTAGGTTTAATAACCTCATCACTTTTTCAAACTGAGACAACACACAGAGATGGGTTGTCTAGTCAAGGCACCAGTTTTAGTCCTTTTTGGACTTTGCATATCTATGCACTAGCATCTATATGCAGAAGGAAGAATGAACAGGAACACATTCAATCTTCTTTGAAAAAAGTTGGTCAGAAAATTCCAGAGGTCAAATGCTTTGCTGAGTAACTCTAGTTATAATAGGAGAATGTGAGGAATCTATTTAGAACAACTTGGAACACTTTGGGAGGCTCTTGTTCTTCTGAGCAGGGTCATATGAAATGGTCACCTGATGTATGTAGAGCTTGACTGACATAAATCTGCAAGAATCTCACGCAAAGCAACTGCATCAAAACTACAGGGTCATTTTACAAAATAAGCAGGATGAAAGCAGCAGTATTAATTTAGGATATGAATAGGGTTCAGGAGTCCATGTGTTTAAGTATTTACTGTAATTTGTCAATGTAATTCTTAGTAATAAGAGACAAGACATGAGGAATGCGAATCTGACTCTTAAGAATACACTGATGTTATCACTGGAGTTTTCATTTCTTTCAATGTACTAAATCAAATGAACGTGCAGTGATTTAAAATCATCACTCTGCTCTCATAAATCAAGGCTTTAACTGTTATGACTTTTTCAATATGAAAATATTTCAATATGAAAATATGAAAGGAAACAGGACCCAAGTCACTTCTCAACAATTCCTACTTAGTCTTAGCTTTGAAATACAATACAGCTATTCCAGAAATTATGTTCTGTAAAGTCTCTACTGAAAATCTGAAAATTTTTCTACTGAAAATCTGGTTTTATCCAAAAGGTTGTAGTATTCATTCCACTTCCTGTATGTAGCCTGTATCTTGTCCCTTTCTATCTCCTCAAGGCAGGCAGGAGGATCCAGACAGCAGGATATTAATGATCTGCCCAAAAGAAGTTACCCCTGTACGTCTGCCTTGGCATCTCAGTTTGACTTGTTGCGTTAACACCCAAGCTTGTAACAGAGCTTTAAGCTGTTTGTTGGGGTTCTCTGCAAGAACAAAAACATGTGTAGGTGTTTTGGCATCTGTGGCTGATCAGCTCTGTCCCCCAGTGAGAGTTTCTGGATGATCAATAGACTTAATATTATCTTTACGCTGTTGTGCTGGTGCCCTGTGGGAGGCACCATGATTCTTTTCCCTTCTGGAAGGGCAGTGAGTTTGGAGAGGATCTGTGGCCAGCACAGTGTCTATATGCACAGGAGAGGTAAGGCTGAGCTGCACAATATGTCAACAGACAGAAGGTTGTTATCGTTTCCATGGTGGTGAGTGCAGGCAGGAATGCTGGATTGTTTACATTCTTTTCATATGCAGCCTGCTTACATTTCTGGTGTACTCCCTTTATCAATCACCTGCTGAATTCCTGCAGTGAATCATGTATGGACAAGCTCCAGCTGATGGTTATTTTATACTCAGGTGCTGATAAGAATGTCTTTCTGTTTGTGTCAGCTTCTGCTCCATAAACAACCTCAATGACCCATATCTCCAGTACTCTGGGTAATAAGTGAAAGCTTTTCCAGGATTATACTGTTAAACTGAAATTAACCTTCAAAGAGCTTTAGAAGTGGTGTTAATGTATCAACATATTGCACAAAATGGCTTGGAGTGCATACTAATTTCCATGATGGATGAGAGAGTTTTGGAAACTATAACTGCATATTTTGGGGTTTAAAGTAGTCTCAAAGATTAAACTCTATTCCATCAAATTTTGGATGTCTGTGGTGTGATTATCTACCTATAAACTCACCTTGTCTGCCTCTAACAGGGAGAATTAGGTACTTTAAAACTGGTGTAATTCCTTGTGCTCTAGAAATGCTTTGTTGTCTCCTCTGGTTAGAAAAGAAATCTGAATGATGAAACCAGATATAGACGTCCACACTGCTTATATCAAAGTTTGGTAAAATGAAGCTGACCATGTCTGTCTGGGATTAAGTTATAACTTCATGGGGTCATTTTAAAATAATTTTTAAAATCTGTGCAATGCACAGCCTCTGGTGCTTTCCTCTGGTCTAGTTTGATGGTGGTTCCTGGCAAGGAGAGGAAACATATTGCTTCCATGGATGTGATATGTGTGCTGCAGTATAATAGTTGCCTCACGGCTATAACAGAGCATTTCATCCACTGATGGAATATATTCTCCAACAGAGCAATTACAAATAAATGATGACAATTTTGAATAACAGAAATGCCCTTAAGACAATACTGGTCTTCATTTGTCCTTACTTTGGACCTCAAGAGCTGGAATTCTCAGTAGCATAGTCTGTCACACCTTGTATGTATTGCACAGTCTTGAAATGGGAGACAAGAGTGAGAGGAAAATTTCTTATTTTAAATTTGAGCTGATATTGTATTGTTTCACATTCAAAATCTCTAGGAAGAAAAATTAAATTCATAGTAGCTCAGCCTTTTTGGCCTTTGGGGCAAGAAAAAGGAGGAATTTTGAAAAAGACAATTTGAATCACATACAGATGCATTATACATACACCTATATACATTGAGATATATAAGAGAAGCCCTGTCATGAGAATTATGACAGGGATTATCTTTTACCTGAGTTTTACCTTCTGAACATCTGCATTTAAAACAGCATGATTTGCCATCCAAAAATGCAAATTGACCTTGTTTTAGCAATGTATTTACAAATGTTTGACATCTACATTTACCTACATTAAAGGTTGAATGCTATTGCTTATCCTTTCTTTAATCAAGACGTTTTTAATTGTCCTAAGAGGAAAACCAAAAAAGCATAATTATATTACTATCCTTCTAGAAAACTGAGTGAAAGAAGAAGCACTGGATAGGGAGACTGAACTATTCACATTCTTAGCAATAAAAAAGAGTGATATTTGCATAATAATACAACGTTATTATCTAGAATAAATTGTACAGTGGACAGAATCTGTTCAAATTATAATTCATAAAAGGCAATAAAATATTATCAAGTCATTTTTCAGAATTTTGAGCAGAAAACAATTTTATTTTTCAGAATTAAAGCAGTTTTTAAATTAAAGAAAAAAAAAACCTAAGGGAATTTTATGGGAGTTCTCACATTAATTGAGAGACATATATCTATGTTGATGTCAATACTAATCTTTGTCGATAGATAGAGACACCAGGATTCATGCAGCCCCCTTTTATTTGTTCATTATGCAGCTCTGTAGGTGGTGAAGTAGCCAATAACAGTGCAGGTTGCCAATCCAGCACTTGGTGATCAAGAACTATTTTTGTCCACATCTTCCATTAAGTGTCAATTGATATACTGATGTATTATATTTAAAATAATAATAATAATTTTTTTTTAAAGGCAATTTCACTATTAGGTAGATAAAAACTATGCATTTGGGGAAAATAGATGTATAAGTTTGGCATTTGTATAGGGACCGGTTCATTCATTCAGAGTTTTGAAGCAGTAATTCTATGAAGAGGTTTCATAGTAGTGATTAAGTTTTATGACTGATTGTGATGTAGGTACACAATCAATAGGCACAATATATACTTGATTTTGCATTTTTTACACGTCACTTTTGGCTGTAAAATGAGAAGCCAGCTTCATAAAGAAACTATAGCTCTCTAATTGGAACAATGTGTGCAATAGCACCAGTGGCAGGAGGAACAAAAGCCTTTTGGACTAAATCAGAGTAACTCAGCTGAGTAAGTCTGAAAAGCTGTGTGTAAGAAGTTATATATTCCCTCCTTGTATGGAACAATCTTTCTAAGCTTAACAATGTACTACAAAGCATAGTTCTTAATCTCAAGAGAAGACTGAATAATAAGGGGAAAAAAATAGAAAGAAATAAAAACCCCCAGAGTAACACAAATTGCTTGACTTTCCTCCATTTATTTTCTTAAGAAGTTGGCTTATAAAATAATGGCTTATATGGTTACTGGTACATGCAGCAAAATAGCTCCAACATGGCACAGAAGAAGGTGAAAGACAGGAATTAGTCCGGGGTAATAAACTCCATGGATCATTTCAGAGGTCAATATAAACTGATATATATATAGATATACATATGTAATTACACAGACATTCACATTCATGAGGATTTTATTACTTGATAATTCTTGGTGGCTTTGTATCCCCAGCAGGAGTAAGGAAAGTTCCTGGAGCACAGCAATGGGCCTGCAGCCCCTCTCGTTAGCAGCAAATGCAGTGACAGCTGTTCAACCTTGTAAGTGAAAAGCATGAGATGCTCTGCATCCTTCCTTCTTCCTTACCAGAATAGCTCTGTCCTGGATTAAGCCCAAGAATATCTGCAGAAGAAACAGAATTAAACCCTCTCCCAACACCTATAGCTCTACAAAACATTTCCTAGTAACATAACTACAAGCCATGTCATTCAGGACCCGTGATAGATGTGCCACAAAAAGATATTGAGAGTGGTGAGACACTGTCACAGATTACCCAGAGAAATGGGTATGTGGATACCCAGGTCCTGGAAGTGTTCAAAACAAGGTAGAACAGGACTTTGAACAACCTGATCTTGTGAAAATTGTGTTTGCCCATGGCAGGGGGTTGGAATTAGATGATCTTTAATGTCCCTTCCAACGCAAACCATTCTATGATTTGCAAAGCTTTTGTTTCTGTCACTATGTTCTGTGTTCCTCTGTTATTTGGGAAGAGGGAGTTCATATAGTCAGTTACTTTTAGATAATTGTCCTTTCCCCTCCTCTTGTTTTCTTTCTATCTCTGCCTTTCCATGATTCTTCAAAGCTGTTGCTTCTTGTTTATTTCATGAGAGTTTACCTGAGAGGAAGAGACACTGATGTTATCTCTAACATACTTGTAGCAAAACAAGTTTCAGTTCTTGTAGATCACTTTCAATCTGTGTGAGCATTGACTGTTGGCTGCTTAACCACAATTTTCCTGGGATAAGTGTTTTTTCCTGAATTTTTTTTAAAATTAAAATCATAGCACTGTGAAATTCAACTGCAGTAAAATTGTCTAACCTGAAATTTACTGGTACTAGAGGAAAACACAATGTGTAACACTGTTGTGCTCCAGCATTTGCATTTGCTGGTTATAGCATTCATGCAGAATTTAAGTTGCCTTCAACAGAATAAGCCTAACTTATTTAGTATGACTAGAAGGGGAGCTGTTAGAATAAGACAAGAGCAGTACAAGCATGTAAAATTCTATTTATCTATGACAGAGCCCAAGGGGCTCTGAGCTGCCTAATAGGAATCCATTCTCTGCCAGTCTTCACTATGAAGAGCTAGAGACCCCTGAAGAAATGTTTATCAATGGTAATTGGACTGCCATGGCTTAGTAGTGTATCATTAATTATATAATTGCATTTGATTAAAAATCCTTACAATAACAGTTTGCACTTGATCTGGTCTTTTTGATGAAACTAAAAAGAAAATAATAGAAAAAACTTACTGTGCATTAGTAATTGTTAAATTACATTAAGGATTAGGACTGCAATTTGCAGCTACCAGTCTCTTATTCTGTTACAATGCTAGAAAATTTTACAGTTGCAAACAGTCTTAAGTTTGCATTTTGACTTCAGCCCTTTTTGATAATGTTAAACCCTAAATTGTACAAAGAACATCTTGTTGGTTTTAATAGAGAGTTACTTCCAGTCTAACTTCCAAAATTTCTCTGAATAATTACAAGTACTTGTGGGAGAAAGAAAAAAAGAATCTTTTTTAAAAGGGTGGACTTAGCTTACTCGTGAGTGATTTGAAATTTTTCCCCATAACTTTTGGTGTCTCATATAGAGATTTTTGTCTCATATAGAGAGCAAAGGCAGCTTCTGAGTGTCTGTGTTCGTGTTTGGACAAGACTCTGTGCTTCTTGGAATGCCCTGTGCAGAGACAGGAGTTGGACTTGATGACCCTGATGGGTCTTTTCCAGCTCAGCTTATTCTGTTTCTATGTTTCTGTATAATTCTGTTATAGCTACAGAATTTCAGTGCACTCCACCTGCATATAAAACACTCTGAGTCAGGTTCTGCCTGTGACAAATCTCAAAGTCCTTGGGCAGGTGAATGAGCTGCAGCAGTCCGAGGTCAGTTTTTAGCTGCCATGAGATCAGGGAAACAGGACCCTTAAAGGCTGCAGGTGTAACTGAGGAGTCATGAATGCTGGCATGTGACAGCACTCTTTAAACATATTTCTGATCTCTGACCCTGCTCCTCAGTGACAGCACAGTTCAAGAACCCAGGGATGTTTCAGCATGGACAAAGCACACCCAGGCACAGAGTCACTTCTAGCCAATTTCCAAACACACAGGTTTGAAAACTGTGCCAAGGATTAGGGTCTTGTCTCCTTGCCACAAGTATTTCTTCAGCAGGCATTCTTCAGGTAAGGGGTTCTAGGATGAGCACAAAAAGATTCTTTCAGTGTTTAAGTGTTGCTTTAGCAAGATGCAAGAGCCAAAGTAAAGCCAATAACCTTACTAAGTTATTTGGACAGACTGCTCTGGCTATTTGGGTCTCTGCTCCCAACAAGCAGGAGGGCCATATCAGGCTGGGTCTGTAACTCTTCCCTGATGAAGGAAGACTTTGACTGCTTGGTTACTACTAAAAATAGAAACTAAACATCTTCTCTAGATCCAAAGGCGTGTGGCAGAACTCACATGTGCAAAGTTAACCCACATTGCACAGTGATCAGAGGTGACCATACTCAGACTGCTGCCAAGGAAGGGCTTTCCAGCCCCAAGGGCTTTATCATAAGGACTGGCTTGGCCCTTGCCTGTGGTTTGGGACAGCAGAGGAACCACACTAGGGTCCATCTGATTGTATGGTTATGTAGATGATTGTGTCAGCAATACATACATGTGATCACATGTAGTTTATAATATAGATATGTCATTGAAAACTTGGCTTCTGTTCATGTAAGTGTAGAGATGGGACTCAAGCCATGAGTATAAGTCAATTACTACTAACAATGGTGTTATTAGGAAAATGTGTTTGAGACCATCCCTGCACAGGAAAGCACTCTGCCTTGAGAAAATGTAATGTCTTTTAGGGACTGTAAACTAATTGCATAATTTCTTAAAAGAAAGTTTATTAGCAGTAATGTATTACAGATGTAATGGTCAAAAAATATTAATATGGCTCACACACGTCAGTAAAAGCAATCAGCTTTCAGAGTGTTTCACCACAAGGTTGTATTTTGAAGCATATACAAAGATAAATCAGGGAGAGTTGATTCTCCATGAGATTATTGTTTTTCTCACAGAGTGACTGATTTTAATAAAGTTAACATTTCAAGAAAACACTCCAAAATGTGCTGTTTGTGTTTGCAGTCCACCAGCCTCCATTCATTTGGCCAGAACCAATTACAAAGAAGATCAGTGCTGCTGTTGAATTCTATTTCATGCCTTATGTTAGAGATTTGTAAAACTGTCCCTTGCTGACTTGGAGATAAGTGGAATAGCGATGAATTCAGCTTCAGGCAAGCTGCTTTTCAAGCAAACCTGTCAGGAGACAGAAAGACAGTTCATAATAATTCATTCTTGTGCTGTGTCTCAAGCGATTAGTGAAGGTATAGGACAGATCTGGAAAACAAATAACATTAACATATCCTTTAAAAAAGCCACAAAAGCCAAATTCCTGCAAAACCCTACAAAAACCCGAACCCAAATAATAAATCACATTTCTCATTTGTTGAGGAACAGAAACCTTGAGATAAGTACAGGAACCATAATTAAGGGATTAATTGTCAGGAATAAAAGGGTCCTTGTCTATAAAGTGCTTTTATGAGAATACAGAATCCAAAACACAGCAGAGAACTGGATTTAATTCACTGTATTTTTACAAAATGACTGCTCAAGAAAACAGTCTCTGGGGCATCAAGTGTAAATGAACTGTGAACACAGAGATCGCCAGATGGAAAATAATGTCAATATGAACAACCAGAAATATGCAGAATCAGCTTGCAGCAGTGTGCTACAACTAAGCAATTCAGCCACCAAATCATTTTTCCCCTGAGAGCAACAAGCTTTTAATCAGCATCCAAACTGAATTTAGATCTTCCAGTGGAGCGAGGGCTTCCACTTAATTGAAGCAGAAGGACCAGTGCCATGGACAAAATCACAGATGTAGTTGTAACACCACAGCCTTTCTCTGCTTCAGAGAAATGCAGTGGGATATTGTTTCTATTTTTGGAAGAAATGCTAAAGATTTATAGGAGCAAAGTGTGTAAGAAAAAGTAAGAGGATAAAGTTAACTTTTTTCTAGATTTATGACAGTATTATGGATTTTGAGCTATTATTACGAGTTTCTGTGAAATGCTAATAAATAACAATGCAGGAAAAACACCAAATTACCTCAATAAATGCAGTTCAAAAAGATTTTTTTTTTCTAATAATTCCTGTGAGATGAATCACCTACAAAGCTAAAGTACTTGAAGCAATTTTTGATATGGGTCTTATTTAACAGTAGGGAAAAAAAAAAGAATCCAAAGAATTTTGAGGCAGAATTTGCTACCCCTACTTGCTCTGAGTAGAAGAGCAAACAACAGGGTAGGAAAAATGTGCCCTTCTGTCTCGTGAATCATTATCTCTCCTTGTCACAGGTTACTGACACTAGCTTACCTTTTTTAAATTTAACTGCTATTTAAAGCTTTTTCTGTTAGGAGCACATTAAAATCCCTCTGTTTGCAATCCAGTGCTGGCTACAGCTGAATGATCTGAGCAAGGTGCAAGGAGCAGGAGTAAGGTGCTGCTGGCCAGAGGAAAAGCCCTTTGGTAAAATATTAATGATACATCATTGTGCATCCTGGCTGAGTCTCAAAGTAACTGTGCTCCTGGCTACTGTGATTCTTTTTCCTCTAGAATGTAGGTAGCAGATAACATAAAGAAGCAAACCCTGACAAACAAGAAAAAAAAATTCCAGCTATAGTCCAGAGAAGCTGAAGTGAACAGAAGGATGTGTGATACACTTAAAACTGGCTGCTAACAGAGGCAGTGCCTCTTTTGCTGTGCCTCTGATATGAAGGTAGAACTGATGAGGAATAGGGGACAGGGTGGGATTGGTCATGGAGTAAATTTTCCAGGAGGGCAACATGGATCTGATCTGGCCTGAGTTTTTCTCAGCTTTAACACTGGACTGTAACAGATGCAAGTAATTGATCTCTTAATGCTTCATTGAACCCATCTCCTCACGCCACTTTCTGTCCAACTGCAAACACTGGGAAGGAGAACACCCATGGAAAATGTCAGTCTTGCCTGCCAAGATAAAAAAAGAGATTAATTTGCTCTGCATTTTGAGCTCAATGCTCCCAGCTCAGCAATCAGGTGCAGTAAGATGGGGCCTAAAGGCTCCAGGCACAGCTGTAAATGGAAAATGTCCTAGATAGGAAAAAGATAAAAATATTACAATAATATTTAGAATATGGAAAGTTTGGAAGAAAATGGTGTAGTAGAGTGCCAACATCCAACAGAGAAATAAATAAAACCAGTGGGTTGGAATAATTACAAGAACTCAGATGCCAGTCTTTATGTCATCAAATGTCATCTTTTGGTGGTATATATGGCTGCTTTCTAAATAAGGAAGTCCTTTCAAATTGCATTATATTTCAGAATGTAAAAAGCATAAAATTAAAATAGCAAAGAGATATTTAGGGGGGAAATTATAATTTTGCAAATACAGAAAACCCATAAGAAATAATTTACTTCAAATTTATATTAATTTTACTTCTAATAGTTCCTTCTTAGGTAATTAGTAACGTGGGTAATAACTTTACAAGAGCTAAATATCTGCAGATATTTGTTTTACACAAATTAGACACATTTGGGGAAGATGAGATTTTTAATACACATTTTTTGGAGATATTTGTTAGAATTCCCTGTCAGAAGATGAAAACATACACATCTCCTCAAAGGGTCCGAACGTTAGATGAATTTAACAATATTAAGAGCTAATAAACTTTGGATGATCAATTCCTAAGAAAGAGTCTGTCTTGGGCCATTTTTAATTCTTGAAGCGGTATTTCATTTTCTTATTTATAGATTTATGCTGGATCTTTTTCTGTCTTCCTGCTTAATTTGTTTTTGATTTCTTATGATACCTTATATGTTTGTACTACTTCTTTCAAGCAGTGGCTTCTAAAAACATTCAACAAATTTATTGCTTGCTCCTGGAAGTAGTGATAACTTATTATAGTATTGTTGTACAAAATACGTGCAAATTTATATTTTATAATTATTATCAATATAATTTAGGGAAAAGCAAGGCAAGTATAAGAAGAATCTCAAATTAATGAGCAAACAAATGGAATATATTTGAAAGTCACTTTATCAGGAGCAAATGAAGGAATGGAAAATATAAAAGGAGGTGTTCACTTACACATTTTTTCTGTCTGGAAAAATAGGGACAGACATCCTGAAAGTCTCCTAGTAATGATAAGGGAAAAGGGATTATAAAGTTGACATAGATCTTTACAATTCTCTAAATCATGATGATGAGTTACAGCTTTTTTTTTTATTCCTGAGTGCCAGCCAAATCATAGGAGAATCTGGAACTTTGATTATTGAGGAATTAGGAGAACTAGGAAAACTGACTAAGCAACATTCTCTGGAGCTCTTCAGTGACTTTTTTTGCCCTCTTTTTATTCAGAACCTGAGGAAAGATTGCAGGGAGGGAAGTTGCAGGGTCTTGGCCTCACTCAGGAAATCACAGCAGCACGGAGTCATAGGGGTGACAGGAAATCCAGGAGGGGCTCAGAACTGGGTCAGCAAAAGTTCAGATGGGGCTGCTTAGCGATTGGTACGGATGAGTCTTGGAAATCTCCACAGATGCAGATCACCAAGCCCAAAGATAATTTTCAAGATAATTTCACTCTTAATATTCAAGGATAATATTAAGAGTGAATTTCATACTCTGCTTGCTGACAGAAAGCAGAGCTAGAGGGATATTTTGGATTGCTCATAGTAGCATTCTTTCTAAATTAGATTTAAAAAATAATTGAAAACTTGGTGAAAAAGTTACTTGGTGAAAAAGCAGAATGCAACATTGATCATAGTGGTAATTTATCAAAAACATTATAGAAACATGTATAAAGGAGAGCAACAGAGGCAACTCTTGAACTTTAAAGACACTTAAACACTCAAAGGAAGCCTATCCTAAGTGAAAACTAGGACAGTTTACTTAGGAAAGGTAAAAGCAGAAAAGAACAAAATACAGTTAAAATTAGATCTAATCTCAAGAGTTTCAATTAGGAAAGAACAACAAAAAATTGTTCTAGAACAGTTATCACCTGTGAGAGGAAGAGAGAATTTTCTCAAGGAAGTAAAGATACCAGACATGATATTCACAAGTCTAAAAAGGTTTTTCTTTCTCAGTATTAATAAAAAATACACTTCTAACTTTCAGAAACACTAATAGAAAGTGTTTGTGCCATTTCTGATTTTTTTATAGTAATTCGATACATTCTTTCAGTAGATGAACTTTTCATTTTTTTACAGCAGTTTTTATGACGTGAAGAGAAAGCAAATAAGTTTGGCAGGTTCTTCTCGTGTATTTTCTAGGGAATCCAGAGATCTTATGGAATAGCTATTTTTTTCTCACTCTGCTAATCAGAAAAGCGTCTTAATGTCCCACAAGGTAGCAAAAAACCTGTCTATACCTTAAACTTTCAGAGAGAAATATCCAGTTTATGAATTTCATGGTGTTCAATGTCACTCCTCACTACTGTTGTTAAAGGTCCAATTAATGGTGCAGATGAGATCAGGGATTTTCTGGTTTTTTCAATTTTCCCAGAACTGTAAATGGACATTAAGTTTTTTTTCTAATGATGTCAGAAGGGATGGTGTATTTGATGTGATCTGATTTTCAGCAAATATAATTGTTGATTTATTTCCATTTCTTTCTTTCATGCTACCTATAAAAAGAGGAAGAGTTTTTTTGGTAGCAATTCCTTGTCTAAAGCTGACTCACACCAACACAGTGGTCAATTCATATGTTGGGTTATTTTCCACTCACACACCTGAGCAAATTCCTTCCTTATCTCATAGGGTGTAATGTTCTAGTCTGTAGTTTTTCTTACATTGTTAAATATATTGTTAACAGAAAAACAGATTGAGATTTGTTCAAAAGAGTAAATCTGGAATAAATGCAATGCAATCACTCCATTTTGGGATTCCTGCAGTAATGAACTAATGCTTCAAATATTGAAGTTCTAATAGTAATTAATGTTATTTTTATGAATAATTGATTTTAGTAGTAATAAAAAACAGAGAATAAAACTTATTTTCATGTACAGACTATTAAATAAAAGGGAATATTTTAATTATTTTCTAAAATACATATTTACACACACTAAATCATTGTTTTATTTGATTTTCCCTTTAAAAGATAAACCATTGTAAATCAAACTCCAAAAGCCAACAGCTTAATTTAATGTACAAAAACATTACTCTCCTCTGCAAGGGAAAGAGAGCAGCAGCTAAATTCAATTCTGATGTATCCAGTTCTT